GCTCCTGCACTGCTCTTGAATAAGAAGGCAAACTAAATCCCACAGCCTCGTCATCGTCCTCTCACTCCGAATGGCAGCCACAGCAAAATCTGCTCAGGTTGTGTTTGTCTAGACAGACGCAGGTCAATTCAGGGCTAACATGGGAGACCCCAGTGGGAGGCCAGGCTTGGAAGAACTCCTGCTCTGAGTCACTCTGATCCGGGCTGGAAGACCGGCAGGGGCTGACGTAGCGGCTCTGCAGCTGAGGTTCAAATGAGATGCAGCCTGGTTGTCCATGCTCAGGAAATCCCTTGTGAGAGAAGGTGATGCTGGTGCTGAGCATTGCCCTGAGCGCTGGCTCCACATGCTGCTAGTGAGCTGCTGCACCCACCCCAAAAGTGTGCACCAGCCCTCAAATCCCCACCAACTATGGCTATGCATGGAAGCAAAGCTCTAAGGCCTTTTTCAGTGTTGCTTTTTCCAAATTTGGGATAGAAATGTTATGCTTGTGCACATCCTCCACACCAAGATAAGCACATATTCTCCCTTCCAAATCTCCACTTTGGAGTAGGGCGGCTCCTGTCTTGGCCTTGCTACAGACCTTGCTGCCTCGTGCAGGAGCAGGGTGATAATATAAAATAATATTTGGCTGCTTCATAATGCTGTCAAAATGAGAAGGTTTGGGCAAGTGCAGTGACTTAGGAGGGTGGAGGAGAGGGTTTCCTCTCTGTAACATGTAATCAGGGTGAGCGATCAAGGTCTAAGAGGGTCTGACTTCCCCTCCTGCCAACACTGCACTCATTAGCGCATCAGGGCTGGTACATGTCACATAACAGAAAGAAAGGCTGAGAGGTTGTAACCAGCCCTGATAATTACTGGGTAGGTCTTTTACTATAAATAGCCAGGAGTAAGTTGGCCTTAAGATGGGTCTGAGTGTTCTGTATCTGAGCTGGTTCAGAGGAGCTGCTCATCCAAAGATCAGAGCTATCTTTGGGACTGTATTTGAACAAGCTCTAATTTTCTAACACCAAGTGCTTTGCCGTTTAGGAGCAGCTCTGTCCAAGTGAATCTGCACAAAACAAACCCATAATTCCTGGGTAACTCCAACTTGCTAGCTATTGATACTGTTTCTGTGATGTATTGCCTAATTTTAATTATGCCAGTTTTGGAAAAGTTATTTTCTTACAGTGCCTCATTAGTGTGAGGTTTCTAATCAATGAATTCAGCAGGAACATCTTGAAGTGACTAAATTAGCCAAGTGGGAAGTTAGCTAGGTGATATTTCAGTGACCTTCCGGTACCTGAGAGACTTTGAGCTTCTCATTGCAGTTGGACACAATAATCATTGTCCCCAAACTCTTTTCATGCACTGCTATCCAGATAAACACGGACAGCTCCTCCGGCTCCCCCACCACCATGGATTTATTGCTGTCCCTCAGGACTGTTGTGACTTGTCAGAAAAGCTGAACTGGGACACTGTGTTTATGGACAGTTTGTCTCTTTTCAGGACAGTGCTTTGCCCCTCCATTAACACCATGCTTGGGGCAGTTTTGTGCAAAACAGCAGGAGCAGGGGGCTAAAAATATCCCTGCCTGAGGCAGTCTTTTCTGCACTTCTCTGGTCTCAGCACTTCCCCTGCTTGGGAGGCGCCCCCACCTCAGGCTTGCCCTGTGGCATTGTGCAACCCATGGAAATGTCCCTGGGGGTGGGGGTCCCACACCTCCACAACACTGCTACCATGTTATTGTGCCCGTTCTGTTAACTAAATAACGGTGTTACCTGCAGGGACCAACAATGTTCATGGTCTCACTTAGGAACAAAGAAATTACAGTCATCTCGCATGAGAACAGTTTTAAATACCATGCTTTGTCCTGTTTTTATGCTTACCATAGTGCTGAGTCGCTTCCCGTCAGCCTCCTGGGTTTGTACTTCATCCAAAGCAGCAAACAGACTGTGATGCACAAGTGCAGCTTGGGTGGGGACGGTATTTGGATGAACCTGGGAGAAAAAGAAGCCGTTTCTCACAATAAGGCTTCAGAGCCCAGTGCAGTGCTCTGAAGTTCGGATTGTTTTTCTCCTGTGTGCATATCTTTGCAATTATCTGGACTGGATGTCCTGAGCCATTTTATTACCTAGTTTTTCACTATCGTGAGGTCTTTGTATATTCTTCAGTATCTCATGTATTTATGACACTGAATATCTTAGCATCATCAAGTTTTGTCATTCCTTTTTTCAGCTCCTTTTCAAGATTATTTCCAAATACACTGAAGACTGCAGACCCCAACACAGCTCTTGTGGGGCTCCATTCAAGACCTCCGTCTATTCAGGAGCCTGACTATTGATAGCTATTTTCTGAGAAATCCTTTAACCAGTTACTTATCCACTTTAAGCCCTTTCTGTTAATCCCATGACAGCTGTATTCCTGTAAGAAACTCCTGTGACAGACCTTTTGGGAATCCAGGCAGACTATATCTCATGATCATTGACTCCTTTAAGGAATTGTAATAGCTTTATGAGGCATTCCTGTATTCAAGGAAAACCACCTTTTTTTTTTTCTTCCCCCTCCCCTCCAATTTCAGATGTATCCAAGTACACACTAATCATATTCTTTACTACAGTTTCTATCAGTTTGTCCAAGAGCAACCTCAGACTTCATGGTCTGTAATAACCCCCAACCCTTCCCATTTGTAACCTGAGAGCTCTCGGACATGGAGGCTGTTATGCACAGTGATTACATGCTACAATTAAGTAATTACACTGTTTCATTCCTGAGTTCCTCATCCAGAGCACTTAGGTGAATGCCACCTCAGCCTTGTGAATTTTGCACTCTTTGGTTTGGCCATTTATTCCCCAACTTCTGCCGACAACGTGAATGTGAGCTGAATTCTGTGCCACGTCCTTATAAAGATTTCTGGTACAGAAGCTTCTCTGAGCTTGTGCTCACTGACTACAGCTGCAAAGCATTCACTTTGTTCTTTTGTTCTGACCTTATCTCCTATGAGTGCTCCTGTTGCACCATGGCCAACTTCTGACTCTCTGGCAAGCTTCTTGTGCTTCATGAGTTTGAAGAGTAGTTGTTGTTATTAGCCTTTGCCTTTTGCAGGTTGTTCCTCTAACTGTTTGTTTTTTATTTTTTGCTCACCTTAATTCTCTTTTTGAATTTAAATTGACAGGATACACAGTCTTTTGTTTGTTCAGACAAAAATGACTTTTCTAAACATGAAAAGATTGTATCCTTCAAGCCTGAGAGTCATCAGACCATCTCAGACCACCTCATCTCAGTTTGATCTAAGGCTTAGACCTAACAACGCCCAGGACATCGGGGTTTCCTACTAGAAAAGTGTGTGGTTTTGTTGTTGTTTGGTTTGTTTGAAAGGATTCTATGATATCAGATTATTAAAGTGTGACACATTTATATAGATAAAAATCATCAGTGGCCAGGATGAATTTTGTCTGTCTTGGGCTTGGGGTATGTCACCTTTGCTGGTACAAAGAGGTGAGCATTTCTCTGGCCAGCTACAATCATTTTTGAAGCTGTTTTGGGGTTTGCTCCCTTAGGGTGAAGTGAGCTCAGCAGGGAGCCCCACAAGTAGATGTTTGGGGTCTGGGCAGAGGGACCGTGATGCTCCCTGCCTCCTCGGCCTGCTTGCCTACGTGTGTGCGTCTGGAAGGCCTGTTGCCATGGAGAAGCGATGGGGAGCCGTCTGCCTGGCTCGCCTGACTTTTTTCCTAGCACGAAGCGAAGGCATTTCGCCAGCCTTAATGAGACGAAGGCGTTTGGCACACTGGCTGCATCCTCATCTTTGTCACACTGGGGTACGCAGACCCCCCAAAAATGGGAGAAACTCAAAGGCAGGAGGAAAAAAAATGTGGGTGAGGAAGGGAGCAGAGAGCAAGAGAGAAACTGCAGAGATGGGCAAGTGCTTGGGTGGGCTACAGAGATGGAGCTGGGCCCTTCTCAGGGGTGCACAGGCTGAGAGGCAGAGGGCATGAATTGCTACAAGGGAAATTACAATTAGAGATGTGGAAAAAAAATCTTTCCCTGTGAAAATGGTATATTTCTGAGACAGGGACACGAGTGGTGGAGGCATCTCCATCACTGGAGATATCTAAAATCCATCTGCCCAAGCTCTGAGCCACCAATGTGCCTTTGAAGTGAGCCCTGTGTTGGACTGGACCTTTGGAGAGATGGAAGAAGGAGAGTTTCAAAGTGCTCCAGGAGGCACAAATGTGGGAGATAGTGGTCTGAAAATGGGGTGAAGGTGGAGATATCCCTGCTTTTTAGTTTTGGGAATTGACAGTACTGAATACTGCTTCCCTCACTGCAACTGATTGTATGGCACATTCTCTACAGTTTTGTTTTTATAAGGTGCTCCCTAAAAAACATGTGTATTCTGTCTTACTTTCTGTTGTAGAAACACTTTGGTGGCATGACTATACAAGAAAGAAGGGGAGTGGGGGTTGTGATTGTTAGGAGCAGAAATTTAATGGGAGTCCTCTTCTGCAGGAAGAAGTTTAATATATTGATGCTGGGTTCTGTTTTGTACCTGAACAATGTCACCTACAGCAACTTCGGGGTATTTCCAGGTAGATTTGATGGGGATTGTGTCAGGGGTAGGGTAGAAAATCTGATGATTTTTTTTTGCATTAAAAAAAAAAAAAAGCCTTTGCAACAACTGGCAAAATATTTAAACATAAAAATATTATGAAATAAAGAACATTTTTCCTATATTTATGAAAAAGGGGGGGGAAAGCACTGTTCAAAGGCTTAGGCTGAGTTTATTTATAAAGTATTCCCATGTATTTCTCTTTTCTTCATTGCTGTGACAGTGTGTGCGCCTCTAGATCTGTGTGTCTCTGTTTTCAGTGGTGTGAAGCAAGGTTGGTCATCAAATTAGATGAGCAGCTCTACCACACTTACTTCCAACACAAAGGACAGAGGCGTACATGCCCTAAAACCTGTTCTCCAGTATTAGCACATTGGATTGAGCCTGCAATGTTTAAAGCTGTCTCATCATTCGGTTCAATGCTGGGTAACAGCTGTGCCCCGTTCATCCTGCTCGGGTTGCAAACCCCCCAGGAAGAGCGTGACCCTTGCCTGCAAGGGCAGCTCTACTGAGCCAGCAGGACACAGCGACCAGCTCTTGGGGTGGCTCTGACGGAGAGGCTGATGTCACTTAGTACCTCTCCTTCAGTCAGCTGGTCTAAGCTCAATAGCACGGTGATGTCTTCATTCTGCACACAGGGAACTTTTTCTGCTCACAGCTGGTATCTAAGCAAAGATACATTTCTGCAGATTTGTTATTCACATATTGTCTGTACAGGTCCTTGTGTCTGTGCACGCCAGAGGAGCTGGGTTTTCTGCTCTCTGTATGAATTGCTTTGCTTTTCAAGGGGTAGGTTAATAGAACCAAATGGTTGCATGAAGACTTGAACAAATGAAGTCTGTTTTCTTGCAGATTTTACTTTGGAGTTTATGGAGAGAGAGAGGGTTGAAGTTTGTTGTTTTTTTTTCTCCCAAACTTTCAGTCTCTTCCATACAAGGAAGACTTGCAGAGTCAGTGGGACAGCCCAAGTGCTTTTTCTGCATATACTGTGAATAATAATTAAAAGCGAACCGTCCCCACTGACTCAGGTGCCCTGAAAGCAGATTTATAAGCTACTCTCTGCAGGAAAAGCACTTTTCCAGACACCTTGGGATCAGGACATACATACGTGAATTGACAATGTGTTGGGGCTTTGCTGAGGGAGCAGCAGGTCAGAAGGGAGCTCCTCAACCTGGGTCTGTTCTCTGGCAGCCGATGACCCTGAGGAAGGCGTTTGCTGTGGTGGGTGGCAGCGGGGACAAGGGGGACTTCGCCGAGGCCCCTCGTGGCTCTGCTGCCTCTGGTCACCTCTTGTGCCCCCACAGGCGCTGCTCGGGCTGGTGGCAGAGGTCCTGAAATGAGCAGAGGAGGGTGCCTGTTTGCATCCATCCACCCTTCTGAGGTGAAGCCTAAGGGCACGGCCCCCGTCTGCGCAGCCCTGAGCCCGTGGGGGGCACAACTCGGGGTCCACCTCACGGGGTGCGGGGGCGTCCTGCGGGAACCAAACCCCAAAACCCCCAAACCTCCTGCTGCGGCCGGGGCGGCTCCGCTCCCCTCAGAGCAGGGCGGCGGCTGCACGGGGGCTGCAAAATTCACCTCAGGTGCGGGCAGGAGCCGGCGGGGGCTCGGCGCGGGGACCCTCCCCGGGGAGAAGGGGGGGGGGCTGCTGCCGCCGGCAGGAGGAGGCGGGGGCGGAGGAGGGAGCCGGCGGCCAAATATAGCGGCGCTTCCTGGGCGGCGGGCAGCGCCCGGGCCCTCCCCTCCCTCCCTCCTGCCGCAGTCAATGAGGAGGCAGCGGCAGTGGTGGAGCTCCGCACTCGCCGGGGGCAGCGGCAGCGCGGCGGGGCGGGGAGGGTCGGGCCGGGCCGGGCCGGGCCGGGGGGCGCCGCTGCCGCCGGGCCATGGCGGGGCGCTGAGGGGGCGCCGCCCGGCAGCCGGCCCCGCCGCGGCATGGGCATGGGCAGGGGCAGCGGCAGCCGCGGGGTCGTGCGATGAGCGCTGCCCCCCGCGCGAATATGGGCACAGCCGTGTCCAAAAGGAAGACGCTGAGGAACGAGGCCATGTCGTCGGTGGCGGCTAAAGTGAGGTGGGTGGCGGCGGGGCGGCGACGACGACCCCGGGTTCAGGGCGACGGGATCCGGGCCCCGTCCTTCCCCATGCGGCCACGCTGCGGCTACCGGGAGCTCCCCGGCCGCGGGTGAGGCGAGGCTGGAGCAGGGCTCGGTGCCGGTGCTCTCGGGGAGCCGGGGGCACGGCCGGTGCCTCGCACGCCACCCGCGTGTCCGAGGGCAGAGCCGGCGGCGTTGTTCAAGGGGGCTCCTGCCTCTGAGCCGGGACCCACCCGCGTGGAAACCCGGACCCACCGCGTCTGCCCCCTCCCGCAGTGTCCTCAGCCGCCACCCCGGCCGGCCGGGGGGTCTTGGGCTCCCCACGGCGCCTGTCCTGGTTCCGTGCCCTTTGTCCTACAGCGCAGAATTGTCTGGTCCCGGTGTTCCTAGCATGGAGCATAGGAGATCCTCGAAAACGCATCAGGGGCTTGATCACGCTTAAGTTTACAAAGCTACCGCAGCCGAGCTCTGTGCCCTTCGCCTGGAAGGATGGCAGTGACCCTTCTGCCACGCTGCGGTGGGCGTCGCGGTACCCGGGGCATGGGCTCAGCCGCTGCCCCAGCACGGCCCTGGAACCGGCAGAGAGCTCCTTGCTGCTGAGAAAAATGGGAAGAAATAAACTTTTCAGCTGCGTTACATAACGCCTCCTTTGTGTTAGACAAAATTGCGTTAGAATAACCCGGAGTCATGTGTAGGACTTGATGCGTGCTGCTGAGAGATCTCAGTCACCTCGCTGGGGCTGTAGCTCAGCGTTACGGCATCTCCGCTGTGCCAAAAGGAGGGATGTAGCCTTATGGCTTGAGGGGAACACGGCCAAAGATGTCTATATGTTGCTGTGTGTTTGCGTTGTAAAGAAATCCGTCGTTCAGAGTCTGGAGTGCATCTGGAGAAAGCTGTCCAGGCAGAACCTGGAACTTTTCCCCGCGTTATGATGCACCCTGCTCGTAACTGCAAACGTGAGTGCTTCCAACGGTGTTCAAAGATTTGGCAGTGAAATTCCCTTTGGCAGGTATCAGCCAAGTGGATGTAAAGAAATGACACAAAATGCACCATAAATGTTGTAATGGGGCTCTGGGAGTAGGATTAGACAGGCAGTCACACAAACAACGTATTCTGTAATAGGCGAGAAGATTTCAAATGGTAGTGTGGGTGTTTGAGAGCGGCGAACGCGTTTTGAATACAAATGCCCGCATCAGGATGGGCAGATACTACTCGTGTAGTGTCTACTCTGTGGTGTCCAGGAGGTGTCTCGGGGGTTCTGGTCTGCCACGTACCTGCTGCACCTACCGGCACGCTGCTGCTACGTGGGAGCTCAGAGGTGCCTGGTGCTGCTGTGAGCCTGTGGTGGTTTGACCAGGAAGGTTGGGTGAGTGGGCTTGGGCTAGGGAATGTGAGGTTTCTGAGGGGTGTCTGGCCATGTAGATTATGGCATAGGACAGGTGCTCCTCTGTCTCCACATTCCTGACCTGCCTTAGAAATGCCTCGCTGTAAAAGCCTTCGAGGAGGGCAGAAAACGTGTTGGGAGCTCACTGGGTTGTAGCTTTGTGTGAAGAGGGTGTTGATGGGGAGCAGGTGCTGCTTGTTTGCATCCATCCTGCCGCACCAGGCATCTCAGCACCTGGCTTGTGCGGTCCTAGCCACCCTCAGCATTTCTACAGCAGTGACGATCTGCCCGCTGAAAGGTTTTCTCTGGGCTTCCTGGGGCAGGTACATCCTCTCTGCCCTGCCCTGGGTCCTCCTCCATGCATCCTACTCGTCCTTCTTTATCTACAGAGAGGACTCTGCAGGACGGTAGGTGAGGCTACAGAGAGAGGCTACTCTGTCCTTCCCAGCAGGGCTGGGGACTTGGGTTACCTGCGCTGGTAGCAGCGCTGCAATGATCGGTTCCCCTGTGCTTTTGTGTAGGCAGCTGTGGGATCCTGCTCAGTGTGCTGCAGGAGATGCTCAGGGATTGTTTCTCTGCACCTGCTGAGCTCTGCCCTGTTAATATTTCACCTGGGGCAGGTGACTTTTTGAGAGGAGAAACCAGATCCTGAAATTTAATGCAAGTCCGAGTGGCCGCTGATATATTTTTATTATGCATGGCTGGGGTATGTGTGCGCATTTGCCCGTCTTACTGAGCAGGGAGCATTATTTGTTTGCTGTTGTGAGTAATGCGATTTAAGCAGAAGGTGCAGGCTCCCTAGATTCTTTAATTAAAATCTCTGCAGAGCATCTCAGGGGAGTCTCCTGTCCCAGGAGAATTAATTAAGCTCCGTGCAGTTTGTTGTGTGTTAGGTCTTTTAAGTAGCTCCTCAAAACTAAGGGCGTAGTTGCTCGGTGTTAGCCCTGCTGAGGGCATTTGTGGTGCTGCCAGCTGTGGTCTCTGTAGCCTTGTCCTCTCCTCAGAGAGCTGCAGCACAGCGCACCCATACTGCACCCATCCTGCGCCGGCAGCGCTGGCCTGGCAGTGGGGCTTTGCTCGGGTTTGAAGTGCGTGGATGTGAGATCTTGCTCTTGCCCTGCTTCCTTCCTGTGGGCTTTTTGGCCTTGCAGCTTTGGGGACACGACACAGGTGGCAGGGATTGTGTAGTTGTCCTCGAGTCCCGACCTTGGTGCTGCCCCTCTGCCGAGCAGCTCCCCGGCTGCTGCGGTTCTCATCAGGGTCCTGGCCAAGAAGCATCTGACACGCTCTCCTTGGCTTCCTCAGCACGCTTTTAAGGGCACAGATGAGCCAAAGCCTTTAGAAATTATCTGCCTCCTTCCCTGTAGCCTTGGCCCCTACAGAACAGTGCTGGTAGCCCAAATGTAGCAATAAATCAAGTCTTTCCCTTCAGGTCCACTTTGCATGGCTCTGGCCTGCAGCTTTCCTTGGGGAGGGTGTGATAATGTGGGCAACTAAGGCGTGAGACTTTCACTGGGTGTTCCTTGTTACAGTTAGCACGCGAAATACATGAACAGAGCATGTGCTTCGTCTTACCCAGGACCTTGGTGTCTGGCCCGAGGTACCCCTTGGAGGGACGAGGATTTGATCGCACTTCCCCTCTGCTGACTAGAGGCGTCCAGAGGATGCCTTTAAACAAGGCCACGAAGATCTAGTTGCTGAGAAAGGGCATATCTTATACCGGCAAAATGCTGAATGTGTTCCTTGCCTCAGGTTCCTTACCGCGTGAGTAATTTCTTGGCTTAGATCAGGGTTCTCCATGCAGTCTAGATTCCTGTTTTTCTGATTGTGAATTTTCCTGTGAATGGTAAGAACTCTTTCATGTTTCAGTTACCTTCTTCTTCATCTTCTTCCTGCTTTTTCCTTGTTCCTCCTGCAAGAGCTTTGTGAACATAAATTCCCCCAAGACTGTGGGGACTTTAAGTTTCATCAGTGACTTCTGATTTCCCTTCCTTGAATGAGAATTTTACATTTTCCAGGTACACATGTATGGCAGCTTTTGTCAGGTTATTGTTACTATTAGATTTAAATTATATAGATGCCAACAGCCTGTAATGACTGAGCTGTTTGCTGTGGGCATGCTGCTGGTGTTCCTCTCCCTGCCTGGTGGCGATCAGGGCTGCTGCTGTAGGACGTGGGTCCTGCTGGGGCAGGAGGTGTCGCTCCCAGGTTCCTGAAGTCAGACTGTCAGTCCACTGTCAGATGCTGTCACAACAGATTCCTGCTCTGGGCAGTAAGTACTTCAGAGGATGCATAAGAGGGTGGTGGATGTTCTTTATTTTCCCATGTAATCCTCCCAAATACTCTAAGTTTCGCTTATCCTGCGGCAGTGCTTGAAATGGAGTTATCACGGGGCTTTCATGTATCGCCGAGTGTTTCAATACACATTTTTCCCTCTCAGTTCAGTGTCAGTTTAGCGGAGTGCATAAATTTGTGTGCATCAATTTCTCATAGCTGCCAGTAGGCATCAAGGCCCCCTCTATCCTGTTGATGTGATTATTTCAGAGACATAAAGGCTATTCCATGCTCATCACGTTGTAATTGATATCTCTGTTATTTGGCCGCTTTCCTCCTTCTAGCAAACGTATGTCTAAATTTCTGTGCTTCGTTACAAGCTCTCAGTCTGTTTCTCTTCCAGACCTGAGTCCAGCTTTGGCGTCTAGTGCACCGTGAGTACTGAGAAATGCCTGCAGAGGGGCAGCTGCTTTTGCTGCCAGTGTTGCACTACCACATGCCACCCAGTGCAGCCTGGAAGTCTTCTCTGATGGAGAAGCAGCCCAAGAAGATGTCAGCGTTCCCTCTAAGACAGCGGCAGTCTTGCTTTTGCTGGTTACGGTCAGTAGCTCAGTGCACGAAGGCAGCGGTCCCTGGTTGATGTCCTTCTGCTAAATCACACTGTACTGGCTGTGTTGTGTGCAGGTGTGATCTGCCACCAAAATGAAAGCCTCCCTCTAGATGAGTCAGGGCTGAACTTGTCATGCCATCAGCTGACTACTTCTCAGTAGTACCTGCTCATTTGTATGCTGCTTTCGCAGGGTTATAGCTCATCTGCCATGTATCTGTAAGGCACCTTGCACTTCATGTCACTTGGCTGAAGCAGGTTTCCTTCTTTTCTTTCTTACAAGTTAACTTGTCCCAAGGTGTCTCGGCTCTGAGCCCAGCTGGGTGGTTTCTGTCCAATGCCACGAGTAGGCTTGATGGACTTGGTGGTGGTGGCTGTGATAGGGTGGCAGAACTGAGCTTAGAGAAAACCACGATCGTGCAGCCTGCATTAATACTGCGTATTGATAAAGGAATGGGGTGAACAGAGCAGTTACCATCTGTCTGGATTTTGCTCTGACTTTATTTTGATCGTGTCAGCAGAGAGCCAAGGAGATGGGGTAAATGACACACTGATAATACTGGCGAACTGGGGTGACTGAGCACAGTGAGGCAGGGAAGGAGCACAAAAGGCTTGGCAAAGCACGGCCAGGCATAAGGAGCAAGCGTGGCCATCAGAGTCCCCCTGGCAAAGGGCACATGCAGACATCTGTGGGAGATCAGCTGAGGCGCAGCCAAGGAGAAGCTGGTGGCACATGGGAGGCAGGAATGTAGAGGGGAACCACTGAGATAATAGGCAAAAAATTAGTCTGAAGTTTGGAGTGTAATTGGCTGGAAAACCCCCGATGCACACTGTTCTGTGCGGGCTTCTCTGGCTCATTGGCTGTCACTAGAGACCTGTGATCGAGTGTCCCTGGTCGTTTGCTCGTGGGTTGGCCAGCGGCGTGTGAGAGCAGTGCAGCAGCAGGGCCACAGCTGCAGGCTCAGCCTGGCATCAGCAGCAGTGTTTTGAGTAGCTCTGTGCTCCTCAACTGTGCTTCTGCTCTGCGAGGAGAGATCTGGGCAGTTGCCTGTTGTCAGGGGGCTCTGGCATGCAGGATCCAACCCTTCTGCCTCTTCTGCCTGGGGAAATGGGAGGCTCCAGAGCACCTGTAGATTCAGGCTCTGCTTCTGAGCGACACTGTTCTTGCTGTGGAATGAGTGGGATGGAGAGCAGCAGCGCTTCCCTGGCTCCGTGTTAGCCACTTGCAGGTCGGGAGCTCACGGTCTGCAAGCCAAGGATGAAGCCTTGGTTCAGATTTTAGGGCAGATGGTTTGGTAGAGATGAATGGAGGATAGCAATAGATGCTCTTGGAGCTTTTGAACTAGTTACAAACTAAGTTTTGTCTTCATAGTTCAGAGTATATTTATGTATAAATCCCTGTGCTCTCTCACTGATAATTTGCTCATTATTATTCTTCTCCATGGAGTGACTGCTGATGCATGAGAGAAACTGCGAAGTCTTTTCCAAGGATAGAAGTGTCCCGTTGTCCTCACCGAAGAGATGTTGGAAGTCCCTAGCCCAGCCTTCTGCTGGAAGCAGGGCTATTTTTGGGGCTAAGCAAGACCAGCTGCAGCTTCTGGCTGAGCCTCAGCCCCTTCTGAGCTGGAGTGTGGGAGCAGCTCAGGAGAGCTATGGCCTGGTGGTGCCATGATCCAGCTCCCAAATCTGCATTTGTCTGCTGTCCCAAGACCAAGTCCTGCATTTTAGCCTGAAAGGTAATGAGGACAAGGAACAGCCATGAGGCACTTGTCCTCCCAAATGGGTGAGCCATGGCAGTCATCCCTTAGTGCTTTGTAGACTAATTGTATAGCTCCTCCCTGTGACACAGCCTGTGCGTGACCATCTCGGGGACTGCGTAGGCACTAGACAAGGACACTTTGGGCAACTGCCACCCCAGGCTGGTGTCTGAAGGTACAGCCTGGTACGAGACGGGCAGGAGTCTGGAAACAGAAGAGCCTCAGCTCCGTATGCTAGCCTATAATGACGCAGAGGTTAAACCTTGCTTCTTGCACAGCTCCAGCTGCACCGCTCCAAAGCGTTTTGCACTTGGCTGTGCTGAAATTCAGTCCCAGGGAGATTAAATTGCTCTCTTTCTTCATCATTCATATCGATCCCCTTTGCTGGCTGTGGATGACAAATGGACTTCCCACTCCTTCCAGCCCTAGTCGCTATGGGAGATACCTTTTAGTTTTTTTCATCTTTTCCCCTTTGGGAGGGGATGTGTAAAGGCAGTAGGAAAAAATCCTGGCTACCCAAACTGGGACATAGTGTGGCGTTGGGTAGCAGAGCAGAAGATTGTTTTGGAGGCCAAAGCCCTTCTTCACTTAGGCATTGAGTGGCCTTTCTGAGCGTGGCCTGTTGGTGCACCTTGAGCTGGAGGGGGTTTTCTGTGGCTGAGCGCCACTGAAGGAGAAGGCTGGTGGACATGGTGCTGTGACACGAAGATTTCTTCCCTCGTCACGTCTTCATCGCCTCCCCCTGCAAGAGATGCCAGCGTGCTTGCAGGCTGAGAGTACTCATCTTGGCTTCCCAAGGAGGGGGGTGCCTGTTTGATCCCGCTGTCTGCAAGCATCCACCCGGTGTTATATTGGGGAATGCATGCCTTGACCTTCCCTTTCACGTGTGGGCTGAATGCAGAAAGCTTTTCCCAGGTTGGAATATTCATAGGTTTGCTCTCTTACGTAGGCCTTCGTGTGTAATAAGGGTTAAGCGCACCCTGCCTGGTTGAGTATGAACATATTTCAGTAAAATCTGTCATCCATGGGACCTAAATCCATCAGAGCACAGGGAACTGCTTTTGTGGTCTCTCAAATAAGGTTGTCCAGTAACCTTGACGTAGTTAGTGCTTGAGAATTGAGGGTCAAGGCAGGTGAAATGGGTGTAAGCATGAATATCTGAGCTGTGCTTGCTCATAGATGGGAGCATCCAGAACCAGCATAGAAAGGCAGGCTGGGGTGATAGTTGGGATGGAGATACCTCCTCCCCTGGGCTGCAGGAAGGGGCGTCACTCAGACAGGGTGGCTAGAGGCAGTGGTCTAGTTCCTAGCTGGGAGATAAAGGCACCACAGAAATGAGACCAAGTTTAGCACAGGTGCATTTCATCATTTGCAGTCTTAGCAGAGAAATTGAAGGCTAAACCAGTCCTGTCTTTGTAATCCAACTCTGTTTAAGGAAACGCTTTGGCCAGGGGAAAACTGAGGCACATTAATGGGGTAGCCTGCACTATTACTGCGGCTTGTTTAAGTTGGTGTCACCTGAAGCTGAGGGAAAGCAGCAGTGTGTATTGAACTGTTCCTTCTTTCTTTGGCATTTAACCATTACTCATCTTTTTTTTTTTTTCTCTTCCCGCTGCCTTCTGTGGCGCTTGGATGTGCAGAGCGGCAAGGGCTTTTGGAGAATATCTTTCACAAAACCACCCCGAAGGCAGAAATGGCTCAGGTAAGAGTTTGCAGACATACATTGTTTGTATCTGTATGTGCATGCACCTATTTATTAATAGGCCTTAGAATTAAAGTACTTTGATCTATCATAAAGGGTTAGTGGGAGATCTCAGCTGCAGAGAGACAAGAGTCACCCTCTGGATCTGTGTGATGCCCTGGAGGAGGAAAGGCAGTTTGGTGTCCCAAGTGCTGGGTGGGCTGTGGGGACAAGTTCAGTGTTAGTGGAGCTGTCCCTGTCCCCTGTCATAAACTCGCCCCCTAGAGCTGATGTTCTTGGAAGAAACTTAAGCTGAAGAATGAAAGACCACACTGCACAGGACTTCTGCCCTGGTTTGTCACTCTTAGGTCTTCATTTCACTGGGGAATAAAAAGAAAAGTGATATCTGGTGTGTTAGCTGACTTGCGTAGTATGTGTTCTGCAATCTGTCTTTGCTGGCAAAGGTAACCTTTGGATTTGTTCCCAGGGTTTGCTTCAGCAGGGGTTAAAATGCGATTTGCCTCCTCTAGTTGAGGACACCAGCATATGCTAGCTAATGTGTTAATTTTTTAGATACAGAAATTGTTCCTGTCAGCCCATGATGAGTTCTGCTTGATGGATGGGGGGCATGAGAGGAACTCCTTTGGCTTGTAACAGGGCTGTGCCTTCTCAGTGAGGAAAGAAAATGTTTTGCAGACATTAAATTCACTAGAAAAAATCCATTAGAAAATCCTGTGGAATCCATAGAAAATCCTGTGTGAATGGATAATAGCTTGTCCTATAACATTAACAACTTTATCCCCTGGAAGAGTTTCAGATAGAATGCAATGTAGAGTGACGTTATCATTTTATGTAAACTGTAAATGTGTGTTTATTTAGACCTCTACAAGCAGGAAAAGCTTCTTACTCAGAGAGCAAGCCCGGTCACTCTAGTGTGTGACAGCCTGGTGAAGGAGTTTCTGCCTTTTTTCTTGGATCTGTGCTGATGACCTTCGAGTTGTCCTTGGCTGAGTTGTGCTAGCTTTGTGAATGGAGGCGCTTTTAAACAATGTACTGCAGTTTTCTCAGATATTTTTTTTCAGGCTTGGAAAACTCCAGTGGCACATTGCTTGTTAACGGCATTTGATCTAAGAACAACCTGTGGTGATGGGGGAGAAGAAAGGGTAGGAAAAGGTTGGGGTTTAATGTAGCTGAGATAAGGAGTCTGAGGCAGAGGGAAGGAGAGGGTTGGACAGACTGCAGAGACAGGCCAGACAGATCTGAGGGGACTTTCCAGAATGGCAAAAACAGACTTCATGGTGGCCGTTTTTGCAGCTGCTTCTCTCAGCTGGAGCCCTTGCTGGTCCTTTCTTGCAGGCAAAACAAGAATTCCTTTTTGAATGCAAGGGAATTTAGTTGCCATAGTTAAGAACTGATCAGAGACAGGTACGTGTGGATATACCAGAATTCTTATGGGATCTGTCAGTATTAAATTGGAAATAAATCAGTAAAATTCCCTAGAAATGACTCTGAATGTTCATAGAGGAAGAAAAAAAATTTTATCACTTCTAAAGTCATCTTTTGAAATTCTGCAGCATATAATTTAACACAGTCTGTAGCATTTCTTTATAAATAACTATGGTAGGAAGGCTGCTATTCTATAAAAACGTTGAATGTAGAAAATCTGTCTCCCTTTTGTTCATCCCAGTTGTGCAATAAGAGAGAACTCAACTCTTTCCTTCCTGCAGAAATTCCGTGCATCTCAGTGTTGCTTTGCAACTTTCTGTGCACTTCACCTTTGGCTCAGCTGTACAATTAGCTTCGATCTGATGACTCCCACGGAACAAATGAAGGATGTCTTTGACACTAGTTGAAGATGTAGCACATATCTAGGAGTACCTGAATCTGCTCCAACTCACCAGCTGGGCTGAAGGGAGCAGGGAAGAAGCACTGTCGTGGCTGCACACGCCCACTGGTATCCTGTAGTTAATCCCACTTGCATGTGTTGGTGGCTTAGGTCCAGGAAGCTCAGCACACTGAAGAACAGAGCCCTCAGTGCCTGTGTGGCTCTGCTGGTAGTGCTCTGGGCTTTTATTGTGAGTGTCTTTACCTGATGGCACAGGTCTGTGTTCTGCTGTGATAACCCCAGGTGTATGCGTGGCTGCTCCCTGAGCTCTCAGCAGACTGCAGCAGGGATTAAGGCTCTAGCCTAAATGTGAATGGAAGGAGACAGGCCTTGACTTCAGTAGTTTATTGTCTTGAGAAAAAAAACCTTTAAGCAGCTACTGAGTGGCGTTTAGTCTTTGAATGCAATGAGGGAGACGGATGGTGGTCTTTGAGGAGGAGGAAGGGCAAGGTGACAGAGCCATCAGTGGGACAGCAGAGGAGGAGGGAAGGGCAGGATCCTCCTCTTCTGCAGATCCAGGAGGTAGAACCCTCTCCCCTCCCTGCAGAGGGACTGGCAAAGTGATGAGGCCTCATACAGAAAATGAGGTGGGTGTGAGTCTGGGGTGCCAGTTCTTTTACTGCTTTACCTGCTGACCCAGCTCCTAGGCAGAAGGGAGGAGCTCTGATTCCCTGGGCAGATGCAGGAGACCCACTGCCGACCGGGTTAAACCACGACACCCACCATCTGTGTGGAGAGGCCAAGTGTGCAGAGGCTGCCTCAAATTGCTCCATTTCTGCTGCACTTTGTTCTCCGAGGATCATCCATTCTGGTTTGAATTTTGTATGTTGATTTTTGTATCTTGAGTCCCTTGAGGAAAGGAGGACAAGGTAACAGCTTTTGCAGTCCCACCTCTTACTTCACATTGCCCTACAGATCAAAGATATTTTTTCTTCGGTGGTAAGTTTTATGCCCCAGAGTCTATCTCTAGTGGCTCCTTTGGAGTGCTCGTGTGTGTGCATGTGGCTGAACAGCTTTGGGAAACTGGTAACAGAGAACTACGGAGGGATTGCATAGCAGCAGGATGGGCCAGCTGCCATGGCCAAGCATTTTAATGAGGGGTGATTTACTTGCAAGGCTGTTTGACTTCTGTTTTCAGAAAAAATTGTGGTCTGTCCATGCTTTACTTCTGTTGCTAGGGCAGTGGGTACAGAACTGAATGTCAGCACAAAGACAAAGAGGACTGCAGGGTGTACCTGTAGCAAGAAAAGGGTGAGGGAGAGTATTGTTGGTTACAGCTTCTGATTCTTCCTGATGTGAGGCCTGAGAACTTCATGAATCAGAAATATTGTGTAACTAGCCCTAGGAACTCATTGATGTCTTATTCTGAAGGAGGTTTTTCTAGGTGACTGGAGAGAAACACTTACGTCTTCTCCTCTGTTGCTCGGCTTGGGGTACTTTGTTCTGTCTGGTTATAGCTTGGGTGGCAATACTGTTTTCTTCTCTTCGCTTCCCTTTTGCAGCAGGCCTGGCAGTGGGATATGTGTTGCTGTCAGAGGACTTGGCCTCTGGGGGTTGCTCAGTTTTTTTTCTTTTTTTTCCCATTGATCCTTAGGTTATTTTGTGGAACTAGGGGGGAGGGGAAAAAGGAGGTTTGGGCTCTGCTGCAGCTGAAAGGACACGGATCTGTTAAGGGTCTGGTGCAGAGGTGTTAATGCGTCTCCTGCCTCTGTTCTTTGCTGCCTTATTCATGCAGACTGAAGGTCTGGAAGGGCTCCCAAGAAGAGTGCTCTCCCACGTTCAGCATTCATTCTGACTACAGGGCTGTTGTCAGAGTCCTCGCTGACTCTTGTAGCTTTCTGGCACCTTCCGAAGACTTTCCGTCTTGTCTGTGGAATGACTTTAGTGTAGGAGTGGGTGTCCCTAGGGACAGACATAGAAGACAGACAGGGAGAAGGATTAAAATGTTGTAAAAGGTGAATGTAAAAAGGCTGGAGATAGATTTTAAAAAAAAAAAGTAAGAAACAATCACTTGGAGGCTCACCAGTGCTCATGGGATAAGGAGTTTTGGAGATTCAGAGTCTCCTTCTCCCATGTAAGCATCAGAGACCCACACACTGAGGTACCAGTTTAAATTCCTTTATACCCAGGTACTGGAAACGTGAGGGGAAGCAGATGCCCAGGCTGTGGGGCAGTAATGTTAAAATTGATGGCAAGTGGAGCACTTGAGATACCTCCTCCTGCCTGGGGGGAGCAGTGATAAGTCCCGGTGAGGTGGGATTCAGATGTGAGGATCCTTTGCGGAGGGAAGGAAGGAGCTGTGTTGGTGCTTCTTAACCAGGCAGCTTCTATTTTGCTGAGCTGGGTTGTTGGGAGGGCAGCTGCTGCTGCCGGAGCTCTGGGGCTGTCTCTGGAGGATGCAGCGCTGGGCTGCCCCACTGCGAGCTGCCTGCTGTGCCAAGCCCTATGTGAAAGGCTCTGGGAGCAAGGGAGAGAAAGATCCCAGCAAGTAAAAGGTGTGCTTAGTGCTGCAGAGGTGATGGGCCTTGGGCCAGAGCTGCCTAGCAGATCTTGACTCAGATTTGCTGTGGTTATTAGCAAAAACAGCGTGACTACTCCATGTGCTTTGCATCAGCACGGACCGAAATGGGTCATTACCTGAAACTGGAAGAAGCTTCTTCTTAAGTTCCAAGAAGCCATCTTCACTTCTTACCTTTATTGGTGCACTATGCTTCAGCCAGCAGTGAAAACACTGAAAACATAAGGAGAAACGGGCAGCTCACAGCCTCCCCTGAGCCAGATAGCTATGGGTAATGATGGCAAGAGAAGTTTCTCTTTGCTGAGGCTACTGTGCCACGGGCACGCACTTCATTGAAGCAAATGCCTGTGTTTGCACCCTGACCTTTGCTGCTTCAGAGGAACGTGTGTGTGTGCAGAGGGCAGCACCCATGTGGCAGAGAGGTGTCGTGCTGTCAGGAGCATACAGTAGGCTTCTCACACTGCCAGCAACTTATGCTGAGCTTGAGAAGCTCTGGGACAAGGCTTTGCAGGAGCTTTAGGTCTAGCGAGCTCCCTGTGAGTTGTGCTTTCGATGAAGCTGGGGCTGTGGTCTAAGAGGGATCTTCAATGTGCTGATATTTGGGCCGTGAGGCTGCCG